AAAATGAGACAGGTTACTTTTTTGGGGCAATGATGGGACAGGTTACTTTATTGGCAATGAGGGGGAAGGGTTTTCTTTATTTGAATGAGGGGAAAGGGTTTTCTTTTTTGGCAAGGATGGGACAGGTTTTTTATTAGCAATGATGGGACAGGTTTAATTTTTTGGAAAAAATTTTTGGGGGACAGGTTAATTTTTTGACAATAAGGGGCCCAGGTTACCTTTTTGGGGAAAATGAGGGGGACAGGGTTACTTTATTGGCAATGATGGGACAGGTTAATTTTTTGGGCCCAAAGATGGGACAGGTTACTTTATTGGCAAGGGATGGGCAGGTTAATTTATTGGAAATGAGGGGAAAGGGGAAAATTTATTGGAAAGATGGGGACAGGTTACTTTATTGGCAATGATGGGACATTTTTAATTTTTTTGGAAAAGGGAGGGGACAGGTTCCCTTATTGGAAATGAGGGAAAAAGGTTTTTTTTATTGGCAATGATGGGACAGGTTACTTTATTGGCAATGATGGGACAGGTTAATTTATTGGCAATGATGGGACAGGTTAATTTATTGGCAATGATGGGACAGGTTTCTTTATTGGCAATAATGTGCCAGATGTGTTTTTACTTTCCCACTAAAGAAAAGGGTGAAAAAGTTAGACGAATGTGGTGACTGTAGTTGCTACTGTGGTTGCTGTAATTGTTGCTGTATAGGTGACTCAGTTGGTAGCTATAGTTATTGCTATAATGGTCGCTGCAAATTGGGGGCTGCATTTATTGTGGTCTATGGCCCCAACTGGGGGCCCAAATTTTTGTTTTAAAGGTGCGGGATAGATGGTGGCGGGTAGCTGTGGTTTTAGAGTGTTTGCTGTAGTTTTTTGGCCTGAGGTGGCGGCAAAAATTTGTTTTTGTATGATGGCTGAGACAGTGACTGTAGAAAGTGGCGGAGATGGTGTTTTTTAGTGGGGGCCCTGAGATGGTGTCTGTAGTGGTGGTGGGGAGGGTTGTCTTTTAGTGATGGTTTGAGATGGTGTCTGTAGTGGTGGCTGAGATGGTTTTCTGTAGGGTGGTTGAGATGGGTCTGTAGTGGTGGGAGATGGTTGTCGTAGTGATGGTGGATGGTTTTTCTGTAGTGGTGGCTGAGAGGGTGTCGTAGGGGTGGCTGAGTTTGGTGTCTTTTAGTTTTTGGCGGGAAAAGGGTTTGTCTGTAGTGGTGGTGTTTATGGTGTCTGTAGTGGGGGGTGGGGAGGGTTTGTCTGTAGGGGGTGGCGGGAGGGTGTCTGTGTGAGGGTTTGAGATGGTTTTTTGTAGTGGGGTGAGATGGTGTCTGTATTGGTGGCTGAGAGGGTGTCTTTTGTTGTGGCTGGATGGTGTTTGAAAGGGGTTTGGCTGAGATGGTGCTGTATTTTGGTGGCTGGAGGTGTCTGTGGGTTTTCACGGGTTGGTGTCTTTTGTGGTGGTGAGAGGGGGGTCGGAGTTTTTGGCTAAATTGGTTTTTGTTAGTGGTGGCGGGAGGGGTTTGCCCTGTAGTTGTCGCGGAGAGGGTTTGCCCGTAGGGGAGGCTGAGAGGGTTTGTCTGTATTTTGGGGGTTGTGGATGGTGTCTAAAAGTGGTGGCTGAGAGGGTTTTGTCTTTTGTTGTCGCGGAGATGGTTTGTCTGTAGTGGTGGCTGGAGGGTTTGTCTGTATTTGGTGGCTGAAGGGTTTGTCTGTAGTGGTGGTGAGATGGTGTCTGTAGTTGTCGCGGGATGGTGTCGAGTGGGTGGCTAAAGATGGTGTCTTAGTGATGGCTGAGATGGTGTCGTAGTTGTGGCTGAGGGGTTTTGTCTGTGGTGGGGGCTGAGATGGTGTTTTAGTGATGGTTGGGGATGGTGTCTGTAGTGGTGGCTGAGATGGTGTCTGTAGTGGTGGCTGAGATGGTGTCTGTAGTTGTGGCTGAGATGGTGTCTGTAGTGGTGGCTGAGATGGTGTCTGTAGTGATGGCTGAGATGGTGTCTGTAGTGGTGGCTGAGATGGTGTCTGTAGTGATGGCTGAGATGGTGTCTGTAGTGGTGGCTGAGATGGTGTCTATTGGTGGCGGAGATGGTGTCTGTAGTGGTGGCTGAGATGGTGTCTGTAGTGGTGGCTGAGATGGTGTCTGTAGTGGTGGCTGAGATGGTGTCTGCAGTTGCTGTAGTAGTGACTAAAATTGTTACAATAGTGGTAGTATAGCTGTGGTAATGGTGTCTAAGATTATGAAAGACTTACCTGAATGTTGACAAGCGGACATGTCTCTTTATGGGATGATAATATTCCTGGAGATGTGCTTAATCTAAAAAGTTGATATCGTGTCTGGGGAATGGTAAGGCAGTCAATACTCACACTGATATGTTTTTAATATATTTATTTTAAACAGTGATTGTGGGTGTAGTTGTTACTGTAGAGGGAGCCGAGGTGCTGGCTGTAATTGTTGCTGTTGTGATGACTGTTGTTGCTGCTGTTGTGATGACTGTTGTTGCTGCTGTTGTGATGACTGTTGTTGCTGCTGTTGTGATGACTGTTGTTGCTGCTGTTGTGATGACTGTTGTTGCTGCTGTTGTTGTAGTAGTAATTTAGGAGGTTGCTGTAGCTATTGATGTGGTGATAACTGAGGAGGTGGTTGTAATAGTTGTAGTGGTGGCCCTGATGTGCTGGATGGAATTGTTGCTGTTGTGCCAGCAGATGAAGAGACTGTAATTGTTGTTGTAATGGTGGCTGAGTTGCTGGTTGTAGTTATTTTATCAGTGCTTGAGGTGCTGGATGTAGTAGCAGATGAGAGAGGGAGCAGTCAGTCTAACAAAGTGGATCATATTCAAGGTATTCTTTATACTCAGTTTTTCAGTCAAATTTCACTCCAAAGAATACGAACTTTTTCTCTCTCTTCTCTCTCTCTCTCTCTCTCTCTCTCTCTCTCTCTCTCTCTCTCTCTCTCTCTCTCTCTCTCTCTCTCTCTCTCTCTCTCTCTCTCTCTCTCTCTCTCTCTCTCTCTCTCTCTCTCTCTCTCTCTCTCTCTCTCTCTCTCTCTCTCCCTCTTCTCTCTCTCTCTCTCCTCTCTCTCTCTCCTCTCTCTCTCCTCTCTCTCTCTCTCTCTCTCTCTCTCTCTCTCTCTCTCTCTCTCTCTCTCTCGCCCTCTCATTTACACAAAGAAGTCCTTCACCTGTATGATACATACAGAGCCTGGGGAATATGATACATACAGAGCCTGGGGAATATGATACATACAGAGCCTGGGGAATATGATACATATCGAGCCAGGGGAATATGATAAATGCAGAGCCTGGTGAATATGATACATATTGAGCCTAGGGAATATGATAAATACAGAGCCTGGGGAATATGATATATACAGAGCCTGGAGAATATGATACATACAGAGCCTGGGGAATATGATACATACAGAGCCTGGCGAATATGATACATACAGAGCCTGGGGAATATGATACATGCAGAGCCTGGGGAATATGATACACACAGAACCTGGGGAATATGATACATACAGAATTTGAGGAATATGATACATACAGAGCCTGGGGAATATTATACATGTAGATCCTTGGGGATATGATACATACAGAGCCTGGGGAATATGATACATATGCAACCTGGGGAATATGATACAGACACAACCTGGGGGATATGATACATACAGAGCCTGGGGAATATTATACATGTAGATCCTTGGGGATATGATACATACAGAGCCTGGGGAATATGATACATACACAACCTGGGGAATATGATACATACACAACCTGGGGGATATGATACATACAGAGCCTGGAGAATATGGTACACACAGAGCCTGGGAAATATTATACATACAGAATTTGGGGAATATGATACATACACAACCTTGGGAATATGATACATACAGAGCCTGGGGAATATGATACATACACAACCTGAGGAATATGATATATACAGAGCCTGGGTAATATGATACATACCCAACCTGGGGAATATGATACATACACAACCTGGGGAATATGATACATACACAACCTTGGGAATATGATACATACAGAGCCTGGGGAATATGATACATACACAACCTGGGGAATATGATATATACAGAGCCTGGGTAATATGATACATACACAAACTGGGGAATATGATACATACACAACCTAGGGAATATGATACATACACAACCTGGGGAATATGATGCATACACAACCTGGGGAATATGATACTTTACACAACCTAGGAGATATGATACATACACAACCTGGGGAATATGATACATACACAACCTAGGGAATATGATACATACACAACCTGGGGAATATGATGCATACACAACCTGGGGAATATGATACATACACAACCTAGGGAATATGATACATACACAACCTGGGGAATATGATACATACACAACCTAGGGAATATGATACATACACAACCTAGGGAATATGATACATACACAACCTAGGGAATATGATACATACCCAACCTGGGGAATATGATGCATACACAACCTAGGGAATATGATACATACACAACCTGGGGAATATGATACATACACAACCTAGGGAATATGATGCATACACAACCTGGGGAATATGATACATACACAACCTAGGGAATATGATACATACACAACCTGGGGAATATGATACATACACAACCTAGGGAATATGATACATACACAACCTGGGGAATATGATACATACACAACCTAGGGAATATGATACATACACAACCCGGGAAATTTGAAACATACAGAGACTGGGGAAAATGATACATACTGAGCCTGGGGAATAAGATACATATACAACCTGGGGAATATGATACATACACAACTTGGGGAATTCGAAATCAGTTTTGATCCAAAGGGAGATTGCTTCAAATTTCATGCATCAAAAGCCCTTCATAATTATTAGAAGGAATGGGCTATATAAAAATGGACTTCATGTACGATACCTTCATTCTTACTGTTTTGAAAATAAATTTCTCACAGTGGCTCTAGCCAGGCTGTTTATTTTCACACAGCCTGGTGCTCCAGTGATAGCACGGGCAGCATTTCTGATGGAAATAGCTCACTTCATTCATCGGTGCAACCGTGGTGCATGGCCAGCCTGGATAAAGATGTCTCTTCCAATGTACCGTCCATCTGTGTCTCTCTCCCGAACTCAACTCTCAGGAGCAAGACGGATGAACATCCTTCAACGTGCTGCCGGCAGGATGTTCTACCAGTGGGCTGAGGCAAGATTCCAAGTATTCTTTAAAATTAAAATTGCTTAACTAAATTACTATACAGGAAATCCTCATTTAACATCGTCGATAGGTTCTTGGAAACCGCGACTTTAAGCGAAACGACGTATGACGAGACCAGTTTTACCATGGGGCTAATTGATATAAACAAGAGTTAAGTTGACTCACGAAATCGTAATGACACGATTGAAAACAAACCATACCCCGGCTGGGATTGAACCCGCGGTCAGAGAGTCTCAAAACTCCAGCCCGTCACTTTAGCCACAAGACCAGCTAGCCGGTCTAGCTGGTCTAGTGGCTAACGCGACGGGCGTTCGGCATGACATTATATAATATATATTATTTATAATATATAATTAAATATATATATAATATATATATATAATATATATATATATATATATATATATTATATTTATATATATATAATATATAATTTCTACACTCCGAATTTTTTGCATAATATTTACACCACACATTGCCCTAGACAAGACATCACTGCCTCCAACCGCCTCCTCGCTGCTGCATTTACCACCCAAGCTTCACATCCATATAGAGTGTTGGTACTACTATACTTTCATACATTCCCTTCTTTGCCTCCATAGATAACGTTTTTTGTCTCCACATATACCTCAATGCACCACTCACCTTTTTCCCTCATCAATTCTATGATTAACCTCATCCTTCATAAGTCCATCCGCCGACACGTCAACTCACAAGTATCTGAAAACATTCACTTCTTCCATACTCCTCCTCCCCAATTTGATATCCAATTTTTCTTCATCTAAATCATTTGATACCCTCATCACCTTACTCTTTTCTATGTTCACTTTCAACTTCCTACCTTTACACACTCCCAAACTCATCCACTAACCTTTGCAATTTTTCTATAGAATCTCCCATGAACACAGTATGATCAGCAAATAGCAACGGTGTCAATTCCCATTTTGTATTTGATTCCCCATAATTTAATCCCACTCCTCTCCCGAACACCCTAGCATTTTCTTCTTTTACAACTCCATTTATAAATATATTAAACAACCACGGTGACATTACACATCCCTGTCTAAGACCTACTTTTACCGGGAAGTAGTCTCTCTTCTACACACCCTAACCTGAGCCTCAGTATCCTCACAAAAACTCTTTATAGCATTTAGTAACTTACCACCTATTCCAAATACTTGCAACATCTGCCACATTGTTCCCCTATCCACTCTATCATATGCCTTCTCTATATCCATAAACTCAATAAAACTTCCCTACCTTTATCTAAATACTGCTTACATATATGCTTCGATGTAAACACTTGATCTACACATCCCCTACCCACTCTGAAACCTCCTTGCTCATCCGCAATCCTACATTCTGTCTTACCTCTAATTATTTCAGTTATAACCCTTCCGTACACTTTTCCTGGTATACTCAGTAAACTTATTCCTCTATAATTTTTACAATCTCTTTTGTCCCCCTTCCCTTTATATAAAGGGACTATACATGCTCTCTGCCAATCCCTAGGTACCTTCCCCTCTTTCATACATTTATTAAACAAAAATAGCAATCACTCCAACACTATATCACCCCTGCTTTTAACATTTCGGTCATGATCCCGTCAGTTCCAGCTGCTTTACCCCCTTTCATTCTACGTAATGCCTCACGCACCTCCCCCACACTCACATCCTGTTGTTCTTCACTCCTAAAAGATGGTATACCTCCCTAGCCAGTGCATGAAATTACCGCTTCCGTTTCTTCGTCGACATTTAAAAGTTCCTCAAAATATTCTCGCCATGTACCCAAAACCTCCATCTCCCCATCTACTAACTCCCCTACTCTGTTTTTAACTGACAGATCCATTCGTTCTCTAGGCTTTCTTAACTTGTTTAACTCACTCCAAACTTTTTTCTTATTTTCATTAAAATTTCTTGACAGTGCCTCTCCCACTCTATCATCTGCTCTCCTTTTGCACTCTCTCACCACTCTCTTCACCTTTCTTTTACTCTCCATATACTCTACTCTTCTTATAACACTTCTGCTTTCGAAGAACCTCTCACAAGCTAACTTTTTCTCTTTTATCACACCCTTTACTTCATCATTCCACCAATCACTCCTGATTCCTCCTGCACCCACCATCCTATAACCACAAACTTCTGCCCCACATTCTAATACTGCATTTTTAAAACAATTCCAACCCTCTTCAACCCCCCCACTAATCATACTTGCACCAGCCCACCTTTCTGCCAATAGTTGCTTATATCTCACCCGAACTTCCTCCTACCTTAGTTTATACACTTTCTTACTCTAACTGTAGCTACAACTAAATAATGGTCTGATATATCAGTTGCCCCTCTATAAACATGTACATCCTGGAGCCTACCCATCATCCTTTTATCCACCAATACATAATCTAACAAACTACTCTCATTACGTGCTATATCATACCTTGTATATTTATTTATCCTCTTCTTCATAAAATATGTATTACTTATTACCAAACCTGTTTCTACACATAGCTCAATTAAACGTTCCCCATTTACATTTACCCCTGGCACCCCAAATTTACCTACTACTCCCTCCACAACATTTTTTCCCACTTTAGCATTGAAATCCCCAACCACCATTACTCTCACACTTAGTTCAAAACTCCCCACGCATTCACTCAACATTTCCCAAAATCTCTCTCTCACCTCTACACTTCTCTCTTCTCCAGGTGCATACACGCTTACTATAACCCACTTTTCACATCCAATCTTTATTTTACTCCACATAATCCTTAAATTAATACATTTATAGTCCCTCTTTTCCTGCAATAACTAATCCTTCAACATTACTGCTACTCCTTTAGCTCTAACTCTATTTGAAACCCCTGACCTAATCCTATTTATTCCTCTCCACTGAAACTCCCACCCCCTTCAGCTTTGTTTCACTTAAAGCTTCTTCTCATTCATAGCATCCACAATCATCTCTTTCTTATCATTTGCACAACATTCACGCACATTCAGACTTTCCACTTTGAAATTCTCTTCTCCTTATTCTTTTTAGTAATTATTACAGGAAAAAGGGTTACTAGTCATTGTTCCCGGCATTTTAGTTGACTTTTACAACACGCATGGCTTACGGAGGAAAGATTCTTATTCCACTTCCCCATGGATATAAAAGGAAAAGTAATGAGACCAAGAACTATTAAGATAAAATCAAAGAAAACTCAGATGAGTGTGTATAAATAAACATGTACATGTATGTGTAGTGTGATCTAAGTGTAAGTAGAAGTAGCAAGACTTACCTGTAATCTTGCATATTTATGAGACAGATACAAGACACCAGCAATCCTACCATCATGTAAAACAATTACAGGCTTTCGTTTCACACTCACTCAGGACGGTAGTACCTCCCTGGGTGGTTGCTGTCTACCAACATCTCTCTCTCTCTCTCTCTCTCTCTCCATATATATATTAATATAATATATATATATATATATATATATATATATATATATATATATATATATATATATATATATATATATATATATATTATATATATATAGGCAATGGGCTAGTAATCCCTTCTCCTGTACACATTTACTAAAAATCAGAAGAAAAAACTTTATAAAACTGGAATGCTTGAATGTGCGTGGATGTAGTGCGGATGATAAAAAGGAGATGATTGCTGATGTTATGAATGAAAAGAAGTTGGATGTCCTGGCCTTAAGCGAAACAAAGCTGAAGGGGGTAGGCGAGTGTAAGTTAGAGCCAAGGAAGGGGTAGCAATAATGTTGAAGGACCAGTTATGGAAGGAGAAGAGGGAGTATACATGTGTAAATTTAAGGATTTTGTGGATTAAAGTAAGGGTCGGATGTGAAAAGTGGGTCATAATTAGCGTGTAAGCACCTGGAGAAGAGAGGAGTGTAGAGGAGAGAGAGAGATTTTGGGAGATGTTTAGCAAGAAAGTAATTGTGGTAGGGGACCTAAATGCTAAAGTAGGAGAAACATTTAGAGAGGGTGTGGTAGGTAAGTTTGAGGTGCCAGGTGTAAATGATAATGGGAGCCCTTTGGTTAAACTTTGTATAGAAAGGGGTTTAGTTATAAGTAATACGTTTTTAAGAAAAAGATGATAAATATGTATACAATATATGATGTAGGGCGTGATGACAGTAATTTCTCGGACTATGTATTGGTAGATAAAAGACTGTTGAGTAGACTCCAGGATGTACATGTTTATAGAGGGGCCATAGGTATATCAGATGACATTCTAGTTGTAGCTGCAGTGAGAGTAAAAGGCAGATGGGATACAAGGAAAATAGAAGCAGCAAGTAAGAGGGAGATGAAGGTGTATAAACTAAAAGAGGAGGCAGTTAGGGTAAAATATAAACAACTATTGGAGGATAGATGGGCTAGTGAGAATATAGGCAATGGGGTCGAAGATGTATGGGGTAGATTTAAAATGTAGTGTTAGAGTGTTCAGCAGAATTTTGTGGTTACAGGAAAGTGGGTGTGGGAGGGAAGAAGAGCGATTGGTGGAATGATGATGTAAAGAGAGTGGTAAGGGAGAAAAAGTTAGCATATGATAGGTTTTTACAAAGTAGAAGTGATGTATGGAGGGAAGAGTATGTGGAGAGAAAAAGAGAGATTATGAGAGTGGTAAAGCATTGTAAAAATAGAGCAAATGAGAGAGTGAGTGAGATGTTATCAACAAATTTTGTTGAAAATAAGAAAAAGTTTTGGAGTGAGATTAATAAGTTGAGGAAGCCTAGGGAACAAATGGATTTGACAGTTAAAATAGGAGAGGAGAGTTATTAAATGGAGAGTTAGAGGTATCGGGAAGATGGAGGGAATATTTTGAGGAATTGTTAAATGTTGATGAAGATAGGGAAGTTGTGATTTCGTGTATAGGGTAAGGAGGAATAACATCTTGTAGGAGTGAGGAATAGCCAGTTGTGAGTGTGGGGGAAGTTCGTGAGGCAGTGGGTAGAATGAAAGGGGATTGATGAGATAAAGATAGAAATGTTAAAAGCAGGTGGGGATATAGTTTTGAAGTGGTTGGTGCTATTATTTAATAAACGTATGGAAGAGGATAAGGTACTTAGGGATTGGTAGAAAGCATGCGTAGTTCCTTTGCATAAAGGCAAAGGGGATAAAAGAGAGTGTAAAAATTATAGGGGATAGCCTGTTGAGTATACCTGGTAAAGTCTATGGTAGAATTATTATTGAAAGAATTAAGAGTAAGATGGAGAGTAGGATAGCAGATGAACAATAAGACTTTAGGAAAGGTGGGGGTGTGTGGACCAGGTGCTTACAGTGAAACATATAGGTGAACAGTATTTAGATTAGGGTAAAGAGGTGTTTGTGGCATTTATGGATTTGGAAAAAGCATATGTGAGGGCGGATAGGGGGACAATGTGACAGCTGTTGCAGGTGTATGGTATAGGAGGTAGGTTACTGAAAGCAGTGAAGAGTTTTTACGAGGATAGTGAGGCTCAACTTAGAGTATGTAGGAGCGAGGGAGATTATTTCCCAGTAAAAGTAGGCCTTAGACAAGGATGTGTGATGTCACCGTGGTTGTTCAATATATTTATGGATGAGGTTGTAAGAGAAGTGAATGCTAGAGTTTTGGCAAGAGGTGTGAAGTTAAAAGATACAGAATCAAACACAAAGAGGGAGTTGTCACAGTTTCTCTTTGCTGATGACACGGTGCTTTTGGGAGATTCTGAAGAGAAGTTGCGGAGATTGGTGGATGAATTTTGTAGGGTATGCAAAAGAAGAAAATTAAAAGTGAATATAGGAAAGAGTAAGGTTATGAGGATAACAAAAAGATTACGTGACGAAAGATTGGATATTAGACTGGAGGGAGAGACTATGGAGGAGGTGAATGTATTCAGATATTTAGGAGTGGACATTTCAGCAGATGGGTCTATGAAGGATTAGGTGAATCACTGAATTGATGAGAGGAAAAGGATGAGTGGTGCACTTAGGAGTCTGTGGAGACAAAGAACTTTGTCCGTGGAAGCAAAGAGGGAAATGTATGAGAGTGTAGTTGTACCAACACTCTTGTATGAGTGTGAAACATGGGTGATTAATGTTGCAACGAGGAGAAGGCTGGAGGCAGTGGAGATGTCATGTCTGAGGGAATGTGTGCGTCGTGAATATATTGCAGTGAATTCGTAGTTTTGAAAATTAGGAGATGGTGTGGATTGCCAAAACTATTATCAGAGTGCATGAGGAGGGGGTTGTTTGAGGTGGTTTGGACATGATAGAGATGGAACAAAACAGAATGACTTTTTGAGAGAGTATAAATCTGTAGTGGAGAGAAGGCGAGGGGAGAGGTCATGCCAGGAAGGGTTGGAGGAGGAGAGGGGTAACGGATGTTTTGTTGTGGTCGAGTGGCTTGGACTTCCAGCGGGCATGCGTGGCGTGTTGATAGGAGTGGCCCCCCGAATGGAGTCCAATGGTTTTTAATACTCGACGTTGCTGTTGGAGTGTGAGCAAAGTAACATTTTATAAAGGATTCATGGAAACGGGCAGGCCGGACTGAGTCATGGAGATGGGAAGTACAGTGCCTGCACTCTGAAGGAGAGGGTGTTAATGTTGCAGTTTAAAAACGGTAGTGTAAAAAACACCTTCTGGCAAGACAGTGATGGAGCGAATGTTTGCGTGAAGTTTTTCTTTTTCGGGCCTCCCTGCCTTACTGGGAATCGGCCCTGTGTGATAAATTATATATATATATATATATATATATTATATATATATATATATATATAATATATATATATTATTTAAGGTTTGCTCGTGAAAATGTATGTCAGACATTCTCAGAGCAGATCAAAAAATGACTACCATAACGTTATATGATTTCTGAGTTAAAGAATTGTTCTTTATTGGTATTATCCTGTTTCTATCGAATTAAGCTATTAACAAAACTATTTGAAAAAATTATTTAATTTGTTTCAAGACTTGTGAATATACATTTACATAATATTCTGTTCAATACTGGGAAGAGATAGTGAAGAGGAAAGTGTTTTCAGCAGTTTGGATCATAACAGGGATCAATTATACAGGCCTTGGGGACACGTCTAGAAGAATCTTTGGGGTAAAAAAAGAGTCTGGACCAACAGTTGAGGAAGTTGTGTCACCCATCACAGACTCAGAGACTCGGCGAGCCCTCAGAGCCAACGATGAAGAAGAAGACTTCCTTGATGAAAGTAAGCTTTAGTCTAATATTTGTGTTTATTTTCTGCTTCGTGTACTCGTAGTAATGTCGATACTTTTAACTGAAGTACAGTTTCGCCCTAGTGTTTATAAATAATCAAGACTAAGGTACTGTAACGGGCTTCTTGGCTGTAAAATCGATGTCTGCAAGGCTTAGGAACTGATTACGATATCTTGTGTCTTCACATACCATCTCTGTACTGAACTGATAAAGCCGCTTGTTGGAAAGTCTTGAAATAAGAATACCCAGGTGATGCACGTGTCCAGTTTTTTACCTTAGAGGATGAAAATCCTTGTTAGGCCGTACTTCAGTGACAAGAAATACCAGTGAGGCAGTAGTTTTAAGTCTTGAAATAATAGTGAGGAAGTACCTCGGCGACTAGTGAGTCAATTCCATGCTCGTTAGTGCCTTGAAATGACAGTGTGATAAGTGTCTATTCCTCTCCTTTTCTTTTTTAGTTCTCGTACGAACAAGTTTCGAAGGTAGGGCCAAGTAAGAAAAAAAATTACTGGCGCTATTGTTCAAGTTATATTCAATCGACGTTTTTACGAATAAAACTTTATCTTTAAAATTCTATAAATCCGATAACTATGAAAATTCAATGGATTTCATTGTCATACACTTGATATTTCATTCAGGAAATTTGATGGTCATACAACATGCAAATAGATATGGCGCAAGTGTAGGTTCTACAAACTGCATTACAAAAGTGGCCCATGGGTGTTCTTTTTTCCAGTCAGTGTTAATCCCGGAGGAGCTGACTGTCCGATGGCTCTCAAGATGGTGGCAATACAAGTGTTACTGGAGATTACTGCTTTCCTGAGGGAGACATATACAACATTACCCAAGTCTACAAGGTGCTTGTACAACATTCTCATCAACAGTACTTAATGTTAAGAATAAATGTAGCACATTAACAAAAATTATAGAATTTTTAAAGAGCATCTGTATAATTCATACCAAATATGATATAATTTGAGAAGTTTTCACTTAATGGAAATCATTCTTTTAGGATGTCAGTTCGTGGGGAGAGACCATCTGCCTGTGGTGCTCCTTGCGGTGGTCTGGGACCTGGAAGGGATCACACCAGGAGATGGTCCATGGCTCTCTCATCCATGGGTTATTCTCATCCGTCTGCCCAGAGCCTACAGAGCATTGGGGAAGGTCATCCAGGTATTATTAATCTATATTTTATTTAATATATCTTACCTAATTGTTAATTACCTCTGCCTCATTAATCTGACTAATCACTCGTTTAAAATTTATGTATTCAGCTTATTAACTCCCTGTCATTTAGCACATGAAATTCAGTTTGCGGTTCAATCTGTCATTACCATTCCATGGTTATATTCAGTGTAGGGCAGGATGTATGGAATGTAGACGTGTAAACACTATACAATTCTATTTATAGTACACAGTTGTACTGTGTATAACCTGAGACCTGCGCCTCGTCTTTATCAACCCAAAAAAAAAAAAAATGCATTTCGGTCCCTTCGCTCTCCCAGAAAGCTATCCCACAATTGCATAACCCCAGCCCCTTATGCCTTAAAGCTACACAATGGTTGTGGTGTAAAGTCCGGCATAAGTTTGTAATGCAGTTAAGTGGTTGTGTTGAAGATCTGAAACTAATCAGAAGGAGAATTTACAAATAAAAAAGAAAATGCACATGGAAACTAATATTCCATTTTTCAATCAAATTGCAAAAATTAGAATATACTCAACTTATAACTTATTCAAATCTTTCCACTAAGAAAAATCAACTTTGAAACCAAACTGAAAAGGTATTCTCTTGTTATTTCAGACTAATATCATAAAATACATTACACATTAAGTTTGATGCCGCTCAGAAGCTGCATTCACAAGTTTTAACATTGAGATATTAAAGCCAGTCGGATGAAGCACTCAGAAAATATAGTGTGAAAAAAAATCTTGTGAATTTTCCATTTTTTTTTTCAATAAAATATGCAAATTGGGGCAAACATTGTACAAAATCAGCTCAAAGTTTACACGAAAGAAGATTTGGTAAGTCAGCGTGTAGGTCAATAATTTATAATTAGGCCATGGGAATTTATTCACATCTTTCTTATGGTCTTGAGGTTATAACAAATAAATAAATACATTATATACCTTTAAACTAGGATAACTTATCGAGTCTAACAAATTTACCTATATCTGTTCAAAAGATAAATTTTTCACTTATTTCACGGCAATTTGTTTAATAAAACTGGTGCATTAAACCTTGCGCAACCTGGAAACAATTAAAAGTTTCCTTTGAGGAAAGCACAGCAGCGATAAAAGTTTGAAGGTGACTAGGTGATGCATTCTAATTATCGCTGTGGAGACATTTTCTCCAAGGGATGTTAGCCTCTACAGCTCCTTTCAGCCCCTAAGGGACTCAGCCCTCCGGAGGGGCTGATAGTTTCTCTTGTTTCATGATCAAAAAGTGAATTTGTAACACATGTTCATACCCAGGCGGCAAGTAAATCACATCACGGCTGACCAGTGTTGCAACCAGTGTGGGTTAACAAGAGTATTCTCTTTACTGTGGCAAGGAAGGGAAAATGCTGACTTCAGCAGATCCTTTGTGTCCAGCACCGTCTTAAAGACAGCCCGGGTTCTATTGATAATCCCTCTTATGTATGCTGGGAGGCAGTTAAACGGTCTTCGGCCCCTGACACATAATATGTTGTCTCTCAATGTACTCCTGGCGCCCTTGCTTTTCATTGGGGGAATGTTTCATCTCCTGCCGAGTCTTTTGCAATCATGGGAGTGATTTTCGTGTGCAAGTTTGGTACTAATCCCTCTAGGTTTTTCCAAGTGTATATTGTCATGTATCTTTCTCGCTTGTGTTCCAGGGAATACAAATGAAGGAACTTCAACTGTTCCCGGTAATTCAGGTGCTTGATCGTACTCATGTGTCGTGAAAGTTCTTTGTACACTCTCCAGGACAGCAGTTTCGCCTGCCTTGTAGGGGGCAGTTAGTGTACAGCAGTATTCCAGCTAAGAGAGAAGCAACTTGAGAAAAATCATCATGGCCTTGGTGTCCCTAGTTTTGAAGGTTCTCATTATCCATCCTATCATTTTTCTAGCAGACGAGGTAGATAAATTGTTGTGGTCTTTGGAGGTGAGATCCACTGACATTATGAATCACAGGTCCTTCGCATATTTTTCGCTCTATTGGATGATTAGAATTTGTTGTATACTCTGACACAGTTTTAATTTCCTCAAGTTTTCCATATCTGAGTAGTTAAAATATCTCTTCACTTAACTTCATATTGTTTTGAGTGACCCATTTCAAGATTTGGTTGATGTCCGCATAGAGTCTTGCGGTCATGGCAATTAGGGTGTCACCTTCAAATGAAGACATGGAGCTATGGCTTACATTTCTGTCTGCGTCAGACATGAGGATGAGGTATACGATGGGAGAGAGTACTGTGCCTTGTGGCACAGAGCATTTCACCGTAGCTGCCTCAGACTTTACTGTTTACTATTACTCTTTGTGTTCTATTTATTAGCAAGTTATTGATCCATCTTCAAACTTTTTCTGTAAGTCCTTTATCACGCACAAAGATAACGTTGTTACTCCTTGGTCGCACCTGTCGAAGGCTTTCGCAAAGTCTGTGTATACTACATCTGCATTTTGTTTATCCTGTGTATCATCCAGAAACGTTGTCATAGTGGTCCAGTAGTTGGGACAGGCAGGAGCAAACTGCGCTAAACCCGTGTTGCCCTGGGTTGTGTAACTGATGGGTATCTAGGTGGTTGGCTATCTTGCTTCTTAGAATTCTTTCAAAGATTTTTCTATGGGATGTTAGTGCTGTCGGTCTATAGTTCTTTGCAATTATTTTACTGCCACCTTTGTAGAGTGGGGCTACATCTGTTGTTTTTAGCAAGTGTGTGTCCATGCTCCCTTTCCATAGAATGCTGAGGGTACGTGATATGGGCTTCTTGTAGTTTTCGATGAAGACGGAGTTCCATGAGTCCTGGCTTGGGGCAGAGTGCATTGAAATGTCATTTATTGCCTTTTCAAAGTCTTGTGGTGTTAGGGTAATATCAGAGATTTTTGAGATGACCAGATTTTGTGTTTAGGTCATAAAGAATTCATTTAAATTGTCTACCCTTAGTCTGGTTAATGGCTCGCTGAAAAAAAATAAGTCGTATTGGGACTTTAGTATTTCCCTCATTTCTTTGTTGTGATCTGTGTAGATCCCTTCTCGCCTAAGCAGAGGCCCAATACTGGATGTTTTTTTTTTCCCCTTAGAGTTTTCATAAGAGAGGAAGTATTTTTTTTTTTTCGATTTCCTTTACAGATTTAGTTCTTCCTGAGATTCTTGTTTGCTGTAAGAGTCCTTGACCTTAAGTTCGACATTTGCTATTTCTCTGAGCAGTGCCTCCTTTCGTATTTCAGATACATTGGCCCCTTCAACAGCTCTGTGATTCTTCGCCTACGCCTGTATAGGGATCATATCTCGTTTACTAGTTTACATATTCTGTTTCTTTCTCTTAATGGAATGTGCCTTGAGCAGACCTCAAGTGCCAGAGTTAATTTTTTCTAGGCAAAGGTTCGGATCCAAGTTGTTTAGGATATCTTCCCATCTTGTTTCATTTAGCACATTGTTGACTTGTTCCCAATGAATGTTTCTGTTATTGAAGGTGAATTTTGTGATTACATCCTCATAAATGATCAAATTTTGGTGGTCAGGAACCCTGCGCATGCATGTCTGTATGACATAAAGTTAATAAAATAAAACCTACATACTTCTATAACAATTTAAGTTTCTTTTAATCATGTTACACTTTTACTGAAAGTTTTAAACTTATTGGAATAGATTTCCTTAAGTTATAACCCAGAATCGAAATTTCTGGAACTGGTTTTATTGTTTTGATGAGGCGCCTACACTTGTAAGTAGTTGCATAAACCCTTCACCCGGTTCAGTAAATTGGCACTGAAAATTTGAAGCCGATCGGATGAGGCGTTCTTAAGTTGTAAATGAAAGTTTGGAGGATGTTTGGAGGAGTAAAAACACGGGAAAAACGGGAAGTAAAATTTAGGAAACTTCTTAAAAATACCCTTCAGAGTTACCTAAAACGGCAGTTATAACTTAATTATTTTATGGTAAGGCTTTGAAAGTGTCGAGCGTCGATGGACAATTACTGTTATAGTCGCAGAGAAGCGCCAAATCCGTATGAGTCATATAGTACTTTGAGAATGGAAGACAATCAGAATTCATCCGTGAAGGGTGAGGAGTGCTCTGATTCCTTGACTCAAAAACCCTTCACAAGCATCAAGGTAAAAACCGATGAAGCCTTCAAAATATCATAACAAATGCGCATCTGGAGTTATCTCACAAACACTATTTGGTTTAAAGAAAATACGGGTTTTAGGGGTTTAATATGAATACATATTTACGTGGTTGAAGTAGTAGATGACTCAGGGTCACCTATGTAACTTTAGAAGAAGACAAAATACAGTCATCACACTGACACGAAACTTAAATGCCAAGAATACCTGCAGATATCTAACTAATAAATATATGAATTAATCTAATCTTACAGTAACTTTCTAACATATCCTAGCTAGTACAACTCAAAGGGTAATCAATAATACCCCATGAGTGAAATTTAATAATATGAATGTAAAACCCTATGTAATACACTAAAATTAGTTCTTATTTTACATTACACATTCAAGGAGGAGATCCAAACATTAAATCTACCAGTTTGCCTTTGACTCATTTGAACGTTCCTTCAAGAAAGATGTCTTAACGCTAATGAAGGGCTCTCAGTCGAATGAATTGGAATTACCCATCTATTCTGTGCATTCCCTCCATAAAATGTGATTCAATATGATATGAAAAAGATTCCGTCTCCAAAGAGTTTCATTTAGAAAACAAAGTTATTAAGAAAATGGTGTGGCGTATCCTTGACTGGTGGTGAAAAACAGTCTTGATGACCCTCGTACAACCAGTCTTCGAGTGAGCAGTGCTATGCTCCTGACTTCTTTACAACGGTGTCATAACGAATGCAGCCTCTTAGAGGTTGGATTATATGGTTAATACTATATTTTTAAATGCTCTATTCATATTCCTTCTTCATGAGGATCCAGCTTTGTGTATTTGATGAAGAAATTTAAGAATGGAAGGCTTAATTATATGGAGAGTTGCATAAACCACCTTAGAAATACCCATATGTAAGTTTTACCAATATTATACCAGTAGATGGATATCTAACCAGTTTTATGAACAGTGCAATCATTTGGTTCCTCACCTGAGGGCAGGCGGATTATCTTTCAGTTCATTCTGATCAATCCTTCTGATAATGAGAGGTCGCTGACACCATGGTTTATGAAATCCTCAGGTTAGTTTTTTCGTTTTTAAAAGCTCAATGATCTATGTAATCATGATTTGAAGTGAAAATTTGGCGAAACTACATTTAGTCATAGAGTACGCTTATAGGATTAGCCTTACAGAACAACAGCTGTTGTAGTACTGACGAGAGTCGCAGGGTAACACTAGAGCTGTATGGTTGCCAGAAGACGGTAGCAAACTCTTCTGAAAAAAGGACAAACTACATTTATGAGATTATCACAAAATATACTCCTGTCCCAATTACTTTGCACACTACTGTAAATGAGAAACAGATGCAAATTATGAAAAATGGGAAGCACTGTGTCTAATTCATGCCTGTTTTCTATCAATCATAAAAGAGACTACTGATGCATTTACAAGTGAGTGGCACCACCACTTGACAGCGACACCTCTGACATTGTTAACACTCTCAGTGCGAGATACCAAACTTCAGTCAACGACAGATCAACTAGACAAACTCAACATGTGACCTTAAGAGGATTGCCTAACTTAAAAGGTAGTAAGGATGAAAAACACTATCCTCTAGAAGGAAGAAGATCGACGTACATTCTACATAAGGTTTTATCACTAGCGTGTACTTTATAAACACTGGAGATTGCGCTCGTGCGCCTGCACACAGAAAAGATAAAACGGTTTAGAAGTCCATTTGCTGGTGTAAAAGAGGACTAACAGAGAGATATTAATGAATTTATTAATCTATGGAACCCCTACAGAGAAAATATTATAATAATTATAAACAGAATTTAAGAATTACCTCATGTATTTTATAGACTTTTAATGTCTGCATATATACTTTACATTCAACAGCTGGATTTACCGGAGAACGCAAGATCAGCTTTGCTCTGCACGACCCAGACAACGTAAGCCTCGGCAGCTCCAACACCACAGTCACGGTACAGGTTTGAATCCCACATTACCTTTCTGCGCTTCCTCAGCTAGATACAGTGCCACATCTTTACTTCTTCATGTCCTGAGCCTTCATGTTGCACCCTTAAATTATATTCTTTGTCTACATTAACACTGTTGAAACACCGTCCCGTCTCTCTGCATGTTAACATTATACCAAAAATGAAAATGTAAGGCATTTCTGTTTTTCATTTTCTGTATTGCATGCTTCATTGTTTATTTGGTACCACTTTTTAATGGACATTTAATGAATAAATAAACAAAATTAAATGTTGCATGAAATAGAAATTGTTAGTTATTTCATTCTTCTCATGGAAATATAATGGAAATTATTTACAGTTATTTACAGTTGAGATAAGAGAATAAATGCTTGCAAATTTTATATTTATCATTGAACACTTTGAAGAAGAAGACAGTGTGTGTGTAATCCAAACAGTAAAATTAATACTTAGGTGATTTTGTATTTTGAATATTTAGGAATACAGTTATCGGAAGAAACTTCAGCAATGACGAATGATTAATTCTCAGACAAAAAGTATGTAAAGAAGCAGCTTTGCCTGATGGATTTTCTCAAGCTCAATATCTTAGTATTAGTTTATTGTTGTTAATGGCCTTTGAAGCATCATTTATTTACTCATTCTACATTATTTTCTTAAGTTTGAAGTGTATACTTGAACTTTAACATTAATTCATATGTTGCTGAAGATTTCAGTCGTGTTGATAATATTGTGTTGTCACAAAGCTCTACCTTGGTTGATCACTTTCGTAGTCAAACCTCACTTCATGTTTTGTAAATGTTGCATGAGGTGCTGCCTTACCTTCATTATGTAAAGTGATGCAATTAAAAACCACCTGATTGTAATATAAACAAATTCTTAAGCATTCTAGCAAACGTCTTTAAAATATATTTTTTTGGTTATCTAAAGGTAGAGTCGAAAATTTATTTCACAAGTCATAGCAGTATGTACTGTATCAACCTTACTGTATAAATTATTTAAAGTTGAGATACGTTGTTTGCAGAGTGTTGTAGCGTTTCAGGCAAAACTAAAGCTAACACATTGGAAAATATTGAGCATACTGCAGGAAATATAAATTGTGCTAGTAATAATGCAAAGAATTAATATTGTAGTTCCCTGCTGTAACTGGGACGGTGGGACCTAGTTTTGCCATGACCATTTTGTGTCCTGTCAGTGATACCAAAGTGGTAAACTCAAGAAATCCATAGTCTGGCAGGGACGTGGGATCGGCACAAGGCTTTTGTGTAGTGTTGCTTATCATAGGTCGTAAATCAGCCAAACTCGTAAGAAAAAAGACTTCCCTATACCAGCGCTACAACAAGTAGATTTTCTTCCCTCCACCTCTCGTTCATAGTCTTGAATAAACCACTTGTAGTTCTCTACTTTTACTACCACTGTGCAGTTAAAAGACATTGATATACAATGTCTCTTCTTGCACATAAGGTATCAAATAAGCAGCGAGGGGAAACAGTGACCTCATTCATCCATATATATAATACGGAGGATATTCACGGGACACAAAGATAAAGGATATTAGGCTTGAATTTCCATTTAAATTTAGTTACACTAGAACAATGGACGTGGGCGTTTCATTAACAAGTAATAATGTCAACTAAACAGCCGAGAACAAAAACATTAATATAAAAAGAATTAAAAAAAATTATATTAATAAGAGAACATATTTTTTGACAGATAGGTACCCAAAATATGAGCACAAAACGTCCTTACAAAACATAATATAGAAAATTAATAAGTAAATATAAAAAAAGAGTATGAAAAATGTAATTATAAACTTGCTATTTTTTTTCTTGATGACTATAAAAAAATATGAATTCTTCCTAAACTCAAACATATGTAGCAGATGTTTGTGCGGTATTTCATGAACTCAAACATCTGCAGCAGATGTTTGTGCGGTATTTCATGAACTCAAACATATGCAGCAGATGTTTGTGCGGTATTTCATGAAAGAACAAGTGAAAAAAAAGTTCACTTTGCCACTTTCCATAAACTAAAAATGCCATGAAAGTATTTTGACTTAATGTTTTAAAAAAAAATACAAACTCACTACATCTTCATAAAAATAACATATATAAGCACATAATTTTGATGGTAAAGATTCTAGAAACGAATAAAGTGCAATGCAAATACAGGAATTTATCGCTCAGTAATTTAACTAAATATAAATTAAAATGTAAAAATAATATTGTTATAATATGAAAGTGAACGAACCTATAAAGAGGTAAATAAAATGAAAGAATAACTTTACCATGAAGTTGTGTCTCCAGATCTGTGAAGTTTGAAGCATATTGAGAGCGACATAATGTTAGTTACTATCACAGTCTGTCTTACACCACACATCAAGTAAATAAAAAATATTTTTTTTTTTGTAAAAAATATATGTATGCCAAACAAAGAGGCATTAAACAAATATATATATATATATATATATATATATATATATATATATATATATATATATATATATAATATATATATATATATATATAATATATATATATATATATATACATATATATATATATATATATAACAGGGCTGTGAAGCAGCTGCCCATGCAGCACGAGTATATATCAAAAAACATGTCCGATGAAAAAGCCTTGGTCAAATTGGACTTTGACAACGCTTTCAACTCAGTCAGAAGGGATGCTGCTCTCCAAGCAGTTTATAGAAGCTTCCCTTCCCTTTATCCCTTCATAGAATCGTGTTATAGTGTGACTTCCAGACTATTGTTTGGGGACCATGAAATTGACTCATGTGAGGGCGTGCAACAGGGAGACCGACCCTCTCGCCCCCTTTCTATTTTGTTTGGTCATCAAGGAAGCCACAGAAGCACTCTCCAGCGAGCTCAGTATCTGGTTCCTGGATGATGGTACCCTAGCTGGCACAACAGAATCTCTCCTAGACGACATCAGTAAAATAAAAGACATGGGAGAAAGCCTGGGCCTTTCTTTAAACCCCACCAAATGTGAAATAGTTTCCAATCAACAGATGATCCAGAATGTTAGCGCCGTTTTACCAGGAGCACGAGCCATTGGTCCATCCAATAGCACTCTCCTTGGTGCTCCTCCTGGGTCCAATGCCATCGATCTGATCCTAGAAGAAAAGGTCTCAGACCTCCGGACGATGGAAAGCAGGATGAAAGACACTGACACACACGATGCCTTCTACCTACTCGCCAGGTGCCTGTCAATCCCAAAACTTACCTACTTTCTGAGATGCTCCCCAGCCTTCAGCAGTCCAAAACTCAAGGAATATGACTCTCTCCTTAAGACCATGCTAGAGAGTGTATTGAATCTTTCCCTTGAAGATGGACAGTGGTTGCAAGCCTCACTTCCGGTCAAGCTTGGAGGGCTAGGAGTACGCCGATCCTCCCAGATTGCTCTACCAGCTTTCCTATCCTCTTCCATAGCATCAAACGAGTTGATAAGACAAATTCTTCCTGATACCCTCAGCGACTCAGCAGGAATAGAAGACCCTAGCTATGCCAGTGCCATCACTGAATGGGAGACTCTTGCTGCTCCAGCACCAAACCCTAGTGCAGCACTGGCTCACAGTCTAGGTGGAATGGCCCGATCGCTGAAAAGGTGCTTGCTAACATGCTTAGGGCTGCAACATCAGACAAGGAGAGTGCCCGTCTCCAGGCTGTGAGTGCACCTCACTCCAGGGACTTCCTCCAAACAGTTCCCATACCGGCAATGGGAACGCGACTCGACCCTAAGACCCTCAGTATTGCAGTGGCTCTGCGCCTTGCTGCCCCAGTTCACACAGAATATACGTGTATTTGCGGCGAAGCGCAAACAGACCAATACAGTCTACATGGTCTTAACTGTTCCAAAACCAAGGCCTGGCATGCAAGACACAATGAGGTCAACGACATCATCAAGAGAACCCTTGCTACAGCTGGATGCCCAGCCGAGAGGGAGCCCCGATCACTATCAGCCAACAATACCCACAACTCAGCAAACCGCCCTGATGGGATCACAATTTATCCTTGGAAGAACGGCAAGCTCTTAGCATGGGACTATACCCGTATCCCACCGAGGCGGGGTGGCCCAAAAGAAAAAACTAAAGTTTCTCTTTTTAAATTTAGTAATATATACAGGAGAAGGGGTTACTAGCCCTTTGCTCCCGGCATTTTAGTCGCCTCTTACAACACGCATGGCTTACGGAGGAAGAATTCTGTTCCACTTCCCCATGGAGGATATATATATATATATATATATATATATATATAAATATATATATATATATATATATATATATATATATATATATATATGTGTAATATATATATATATATATATATATATATATATATATATATATATATATAATATATATATATATATATAATATATATATATATATATATATAAAAGTACCACCTCTATGGCAGGAATGGGGACCCTCATCCTCAAACACAATAAACGTACCTCAGGGAAAACTCAAGGTTCTCCCCGGAGCTGTTTGAATATTTTCTTCTCCTACCACCTCCTATATTTGATATTCTATGTGAACATTTATTAATAAACAGAATATATTTACAGAAAAACATAAACATGAATACAATGGCACAACATATATATATATATATATATATATATATATATATATATATAATATAATATATATATATATATATATATATATATATATATATATATATATATATATACATACATGAAATTCAATCATCAGAGGGTGTTCAGCAGGGTGACCCACTCGCTCCACTTCTCTTTTGCTTGGCAATAAGAGAACTAACTTCCAGCCTTCGCAGTGAGCTCAATATCTGGTACCTGGATGACGGCACTCTGGCAGGTACTGAAGAGTCCCTAGTGGGGGACCTACAACTGGTGAAAACACAGCGAGAAGACTTTGGACTCATCCTCAATCCCTCCAAGTGTGAAATCATCACAGCAAACCAGGAAATAATCAATGCTGTGCGAAGAATCCTCCCAGAAGTCTCAACTACAACTCCGTCCAACAGTACCCTCTTGGGGGCACCGCTGGGTCATCAGGCCATCGACACTGTCCTCAGGGACAAATTGAATGACCTGATGAGAATGGAGGAGAGAATAAGCGCTCTT